GAAAAATGTGATATTATTATAGGAATACTATATTTGAACCTGTGATGAAAAATTGAATATTATTTCTAATAAAAAAAAAAGACAGTCTGGATATTAGGAGATTTTAACCTCAACATTTTAAATTCGAGCGTGATCAAATAATACGTTCTTACAATAACAATTTGCATAATAGACACTATAGAAATAGATTTCGTTCTAAAAGTGCTCTTTGGTATAATGTGAGACACCTGGAACTGATACCTTGGGCATTGATACAATCATGGTGTTGAAAAATGAAATATCGCCTACTTAAGGTAAGTTGATAAATCTTGTTTTTAATACTGCAGCTGTACCAAGTTTGTTTAAAATGGCAAAGGTTGTCCCTTTATCTAAGGGCGGTAATAGCACAGTACTAAACAACTACAGGCTCCTTTCCCTGCTCCCAGCTAAGTTTAAGGCATTGGAAACCTGTAAATATGAGATTAATACAGCAATACCTCCTCAGCAACTACAGACCTAATTACAAATATTTATGAAAAGTTTGATAAGAGATATAAGTGTGTACTTGTCTCTCCGGACTGGAAATTCTTTTGACACAGTAAATCACAAAATTCTCGTGGAGGTGCTTGAAAAAACTGGTCTTAGCGGTTCAGCACTACTGTGGTTTAGGGACTATCTATCGGGCAGACTACAGTATGTTGAATGTGAAGGTAACAGAAGTAAAATGGAAAACATTGTATACGGAGTGCCCCAAGGGTCAATTCTGGGACCGACCCTCTTTCCAGTCTATACATGAACTCACTGTCTTACATACCTCTTCAGGGCTCTCTCAATTTATATGCAGATGATACTTGCATCACTTATTTTGACAAGGACCCTGCTAACCTAAAAATCATCATTGAAGAAGACTTACAGAACATAGGCGATTGGCTCTGTTACCACAAACTTAGTTTAAATGTGAAAAAATCAAGTTATATAGTAATATCAAAGTTTGAGTCCTGGCCTGACTTCACAATAAACTTACAAGGTCTCCCATTAACTCGTGCAGACTGCATCAAATATCTGGGACTCTTTGTCGATTCAAAACTTACTTGGGATATGCACATCTTGCATACGTATATGTAAAAAGATTACACCAGCAATTAGAGTACTTGGTCGAATATCGGAATATCTGTCCATCACGCATCGTAAGATGATATACAATTCCCTTATCCATTCTCACATATCATATTATCTAACTCTGCTATGGGGCAATGCTTCCCTTAACAAACTGCATCCATTGTCAGTTCTCGAAAATCGTGCTATAAGAAAAATTGTTTAAGCTGCCATTTCTGTTTCTAACAATAGACTTATATTATCCGAATGACATCCTGAACATTCACTCCCTGTATATCTTGCAATCCTGTATCTTTATCCATTCTTGCAAGACTTCCAATATTCACTCTATAATAAGTCTCATCCCAGCCAACACAATCCATCACCACAATACCAGACTCAATGAAAACTTAAGAACGTCGGCAATGAACACTACAACTGGCCAACGTAGCATCTTATCAGAAAGACTAAGGTACTACTATCGAATTCCAGAATCTGTTAAAAGATTGAACATAACTTGCTTCAAGTGTAAGCTGAAGCAGCTGATCTTGGATGGATACTTTGGGACTGTACAATAAAAGACTTTATCTGCAATTTGGAACTAATATATTTAAAAATGCAACAACTTTCTGATACAGTACCTGCTTGTACTGGATATTTTCTCTTGTGTGTTATTGTATAATGTATAATAATACGGTATGGTATATTGTAATAATGTTATATGTGATACTGAATGACCCGCATAGCTTTCCAGCTCAGGGTCTCTAGTTTAGGTACATACATCTATTTTTAACTACCTTCAACATGGTAGTTAAACAATAGATGTATGTACCTTAATAAAGGAAAAAAGAGCAAAAAAAAGCAAAAAAAAAGATGGACAATACGCAAGTTGATTAGAGGAAAAGATACCTACAGTTTCTAGCCTATTTAGTAGTTAGAATATAGATACGAGAAAAAAGTTCATCATTTCAGATCAGTTAATTCTTAGATAGAAGATAATATCAATAAAATTGCATTATGCTAATAAGCTGAAAGAATCTTCACCTGAAACAGAAGTTGAGGAGAAAAAGGTGAAGATGGGCAAGAAGACACACAAGAAGAGAGGAAACAAATACAAGATGAAACACTAGAAATAGAACTAGAGGAAGAGAAATAGATGATCACCAACCAGATAAAGTGACTTTTAAATGTACATAGCTTTCAATGCAATATCATATGGTGAAGATGTTGAATATAATAATGTGTAGGATATGGAAATATACTTTATTTTACCACACATAGTATTGTTTTACCTGTAGTGAAAAGCTGAACGAATGAATAGAACTCTATTGAATAAAAGAAAAACCAAGATTATAGATTCAGGTACCTATTCCAAAAACACTATGGGATGAGGCGCTAAAATGTTCAGTGTATGAACTAAATAGAATTCCAACTAGAGCTTTACCTAGGGGAGTAACAACCTCGACAATTTGTCATGGACGAAATGATCTGAGTAAGCTTAAGATTTTTGGGTGTCGAGCCTGGTTTAATAAGTTTGATGCTAAGGCAATGCAGCTGTTATGGTGGGATATTGTGGTGATGGCTACAGATTGTGTTTACCCGATCTGCAGAAAATAGTGAGCTCCAGAGACGTAAGATTTGATGAGAATTTGATAGAGTACAAGAAAAAACCATGATAAGATAGGGATAGAAAGTGGGCCAAAGGAAAAAGAAAAACAGCCAAACTACTTACCTGATAAAAAAGATGAGGAAAGAGGAGAGGGAGAAGAGAGACAAGAAGGAAATTTTTTTGAAGAGATACAAGGAGAGAGACCTTTCCAAAAGACTAATAATTAGCAAGAATGCAATGGAAATTCAAGTAGTGATGAGATCGAAAAACATATGCCATGGAAGAACTGTGAACAAACCCAAAATTCTTGATGACTATGAAATGTACATTGCCTATTGTTTGCTCATAGTAACTCCAGATGAGCCTTAGAATTATGCAGAAGCCTGTAAAACTGCAGAATGGAGAGAAGCCATAGAGAAGGAAATTAGATCTCATGAAAACTCTCAGATTTGGATTCCAGCAGAAGTTCCTGAATGTCAAACAGCTATAGAGACGAAATAGATTTTTAAAATAAAAAAATATGGTACAAAGAAAGCAATATTGGTTGCAAGAGGTTTCCAAGTACCATATAATGAGAGTGATGAATTCATTTATGCTCCAGTGTGTAGGTTAGCTACAATAAGACTACTTATATCAGTGTCTTTACAGACTGGACTACTGCATTTCTAAATGGATTCCTAGAAAATGATGTGTATATACATCAAAGCACCTGAAGGCTTGAACACAGATGCAAAATATTTAAAATTGAGACGGCTTTACATAGACTTAGAAATGCGCCCAAATGTTGGAACATGAAGTTTAATGAAGTCATGACAAGCTTAAATTTTCGAAGATCACAATATGACTATTGATTATTTGTGAATGACATTTTCCTAGTACTATTTGTTGATGATTCTCTGATAATTGGGTAATTGGACCAGAAGATCAAGTCAAGGAACTTATTAACAACTTGTTTCGGGAATTTAAAGTCAAATCAATGTATGAAGTGAAACTCGAAGTGAAAGCATTTCTTGGAATGGATTTGAGAGTGACAATGATATTCAAATCACCCAGAAAAGAATGATTAAAAGGCTATTAGAATTTTAAATGGACGAGACTCGGACATTTGCCACTCCAATGGAAATCAATTTTCAAATGAATATAAATGCTACAATGGTAGATATTACTCCATATCGAAGATTGGTATGGAGTTTAGTGTATCTATGTTAAGTGACCATATAGCATATAGCGTTGCTTATTTGTCCCGATTTTTGGATAAACCCACTTCATGTGCATGGAAAGCAGCTAAGAGAATTACTCGGTATCTAAGCTGTACTATTGACTATGGACATGGACTGACGTTTACCAGATCGGACAATGAACTTAGGTAAATATATTTTCATAGAAAGAATCCAATAGCCTGGTATTTAAGAGATCAGAACTTTATCGCATTATCCTCATTAATGGAGGCAGAGTAGGTACATTTCTGCGGGACTGGCAGTACAAGAACTTATGAATCTTAATGGTGTTTTTAGTGACTGTTATAAAATATAATTTTATCAAAGATCTATATTTGTATGTTTTTTCCGTAGAAAACTGTGTAATATGTTTATAAAATCTTTAGGAAAAGATAAAATTTGTAAAGTTTAGATCATGTTTGTTAAACCAATGTACTATGTAAAGAAAATATTATATTTTACGGCAATTTAAACTTTATTAGGTTATTAATCAGTTTTTTCCGTTATTTCACATTTCACATTATATCTTCTACTAAAAATCACTTCCAGTGTATTATTTATCCATTAACTTCAAGAGATGTATCCAAAACAGTAGAAGATCGGACTGATAGATTTGATAAGCATGTATGGATAGAAGCAATCTCAAAGGGAAATTAGGTATTTAATTGAAAGGATTTTTATTTCAAGCAATACGAAATGCATATTATAATGTTAGCAGTGAGAGAAGACAGGAAGAGTTGAGATTATTTTGATTAAAAAAATGTACATATAAGTAGAGGAGTTCAGCACTCTTTTGGTTATCCAAACGACCATACGTTTCAATGTATTGTTGATAGCTCTAGAATCGACGACTATTTTGCCTGTTGCACAAAGAATTTTCAACGATCTAATGTATCTATAAATGAAAAACTAAATCGATCAAAGTGCAGACAATCCCCAGACCCTAACCTAAGCAATAATGCAATCCCTTTCATCTCAAATACACGCACCAGACTTTATTCACAAAATCATTTTGTCCTGACTGCGCCGTACCGTACATCGTGTCCTGCCGAAGGAAGAGACCGTCCAAAACTTTTACCACTTTTTAGTGTCGCGCACACCACGAATTCTACAACATCGGGAGGATTTCTGCTTCGTATTTCGGCAAGAGCTCGGATACGCTTCGCGCGATTATTTTTCGTTGTGAAAGGAGCGCAAAAGTTTTGGGAAATTGAGAAAAACTTTTTTTAAAACTTTTTTGGTGGTTCCGATCGTTGCTTTATGGACTTTTGATTGTGGTTGATGACTCTAATGTGGAAATTTTGAAAAAAGTAAATATTAACTTTTTAATATACTTTTCTAAATAGGTACTATTTTTATACCCTGATGAACTTTTAAGTTTTAACCAATTTTTCGGGTATCTTGACAAAATAATATTTTATTTTTTTGTGATTTTCAGTCATAGAGAAAAAAAAATTAAAGTCCTTAAATATAAATTACTTAATAAAAGTACTTTTTCAATATTTTCACAAAATTTAATAAAATTAAAAGGGTCAATGTATTGGACACATTTCTCTTGTTTCTGTCATTCAGCCTGTATCCTATAAGAGGGAAAAATTTCCACTTTCTGTTAACACCATTTCCTTTCCTGCAAAATAAATCTTCGTTCCGATACATTTAAAAGGAAAAATAGCTCCAAATTTCCCTGTAAAAACTTGAGTCACGGAATATAAAATATTTAGATTCTCCAAACCGTTCTATTAAATATATTAATTACTTTTTTGTATCTTTACAATTTCAAACTTTTAACATCAAATATTGAATTCAAATTTGTTTACTACTGTTCAATGAAACAATCAACGGATTTTGCAAAATCAATCCATTTAAATATTTTCCAACAATTGTTGATTCAAAATTACCCTAAATATGGAATATATTTTCCTTAATCCCTATCATCACTCAAATGCTGGCAAAGTTTATATAATCCAAGAGGACATCAAGCAGATGTTACCTGGGGTAACAAACTTTTAAGGATTTTTCGGAAACCCAATTAAGTTTTTATGACTTTTTTACAACGGCACTGAATCATGAGAGAAAAAGATCATTCATCCGATAGAACCAGTTTCAACAAAACTCAACAGATTTGTAGGGATTTCTCCGAAATTGTTTTGATTTATCAAAATCGCAACTTTGAAAAACGAATAAATCGTATAAGTTCCAAATTAGATTCTGAAAACCATACTGGGATATTTATTTATTATAGACTGAAAACGACAAATCCCATTTTGTTGACCATCTTTTAAAAACCAGTAATTTTCTTGATATTTGTAAAGACTACAAAATTCTACATAGAAAAGCCAACAGTTTTTGGAAAGCATTCTTGGATGTGAAGTTAAAAACTTCTGATATACTGCTAAGTTGGTGGTTGTGGAATGATTTGTTGAAAATGCATGCTGATTCTAAAAGACATGGAGTGCCAATAGATTAAAATTGTTTGTCTGTAAGAATTATTAATTCCTGGATCTTAGATGGCACCGAGTTGTTGATAGTTGTGTAGGGTTTAAGTAGTTGTCTAGGGGTGAATAAAACAACACAGTTCTTCTAGCACATTTATGACAGACTTATTTTATTTGTCAATCTCTCTGACATAACAATAATAGAATAAGGTTTAAGTGGGGATATAGAATGGTAACTCCCATGTTAAGAAAAAAAGTTTATATATGTGGCGCCTCTATAGGCTTGGGTCAAAGTAAAATGATTTTGGCGGGATATTTGAATTTGAAACTTTGTTTATGGTTGACCTTTTTAGGCCTTGATCAGATTTAACATTACCTAGTTATTATATTTAACCCTCAGTATTAGAAATAAATATAATATGTAATAACCAAGACTGAAACGTTTTATGGATAAGATAGAAAAATCGTGTCTGTCAATCGTTGGACTTATAATATTTTTATTCAGGTAGGTACATATATACGGCTTGAGGCACATTAAAAGTGGCCAGGATCGTTCAATACAAGTGCGCGTACCATAATCATATGGCGTTTCCGATTGGTAGATCTAGTGCGGAACTAGTGCAATTTTTTCTATTCCTGTCTTTTTCTTCTACAGGTCGATTAAAAGGATGCAAATACACTGAGTGCGCACTGAATCTACCAATCGGAAACGCCAATAGATAACAATTCAGCAACAACCGGTACCAATCAACACTGGTACTTGATTAAAACTAACATAGGTACTAATAAGGTAAAATAGGTCTAGGTGAACATATAGTCCAGGAGGTGGCGCCAAAAACATGCAAGAGTTTTCGCAAGGCGGATATTTTCAAAAAAGGTCGTACTTTAGTGCTAGAATGCTAGTGTACAGTCAGCACTCACAGTTCCGGGACAGCTGGCTCTGGGACGCGGGCAAAGTTGTAATTTTAAGAAGCATCTAAACTGTTTTCTCAAAACTCAAAATTTATAGAAATTTTGCACATTATCTGTTTGAAGGTCACAGATAACGTATGTAAATCGTCAGACGTCTAGTTTGTTGCAAAAAGGGGGTTAGACGTCCTCAAAGTTTTTATTTTATGGCATTTTCTTCTATTATATTTGTCAAATACCTGCAAAAATATATTTTGACAGGACACCGAAGAAAATGCCATAAAATAAAAACTTTGAGGACGTCTGACCACCTTTTTGCAACGAACTAGACGTCTGACGATTTACATACGTTATCTGTGACCTTCAAACAGATAATGTGCAAAATTTCTATAAATTTTGAGCTTTGAGAAAACAGTTTAGATGCTTCTTAAAATTACAACTTTGCCCGCGTCCCAGAGCCAGCTGTCCCGGAACTGTGAGTGCTGACTGTACACTAGCATTCTAACACTAAAGTACGACCTATTTTGAAAATATCCGCCTTGCGAAAACTCTTGCATGTTTTTGACGCCAGCTCCCCAACTAATAGGTATTGGAATGCGGTATTGGTCTTTGGTAAATTGGTTCATCGCTTTTTAGTAATATTTTCATCTCACTATCTGTTGTCTTCGTTTTTTCCGGCTTGTAATCATCAATCAATCCTAATTATCTCTCTTTGATTTTTGTCTTCTATATGTTCTACTACAATTTCTGATTCCTTTAAATCTTCTGTTATTATGTGCATGGTAAAATTTTGGTCTGATTTCTTGTATATCATTATTTCTTCTTCATTGATATGTACCATCGTCACCAAAAGTATCTGGGACACAAATAATGCATAATAATCTCCTGGACTAATTCTACTGTCATTCATTTCAATGCATTTATTGCATAGTTTGACAAATATTTGACATTAAAATTCATATAATAGGACAAGAGCTAATGTGATGCTGTCCCAGTTACTTTTGGTGACGATGGTACAGTAGCTTGCCTCAAAATATTGTTTCCAATTATAGCTTTAAAAGAAGTAGATAATTTAGGGATAACATGGAATTTGACTTCAAATTTTTCGTCAATTATGCCGAGTTGCATCGTAAAAGATCCCAATGTTTTTATTTTTGCGTTTTCTCCAAGTCCTTTAAATACTATGAGATTAATTCAGTATCTGAAAAATGTTCATCATACACGTCTTCCCTTATTGTAGAGACATTGCTTCCAGTGTCAAATAGAGCAGTTAATATTAATATATGTTTTTTCGTTCTGTTTCACATATCACATTAACGCTTGAACACCCTGCGCTACTATTTGCTTGGTTTCTATTTAAACATTTACTGGAAACATGCCCATAGTTATTGCAGCTGAAGCACTTCGTTCCCTTTGTCTTATCAGGACAAGCATTGGATTTATGATCCTGATCCCCACAATTGACGTTTTCAATTAAAAGAGATGGACGATATAGTATGAAAACATTAATATTCCCTCCAACATTTGCTTGCTTGTCAATGTCAATGTGTATTGGATGTTTAGCAATCCCCTGGTTTTTATTCTAATCACTATTGTTAGGAAAAAACCGAGGAAAAAATAGTTTCCAGTTTCCACACGTATAAAAGTCTTGTCAACAAACCACTGTCAACGGCTGTCAATCATTGTTTTCATACTCTTTTGGCGTCTGACAGTTTGATGCCAGAGAGAGAGAGGCTTCAAAATTGAAAAGGTCAATTGAAACAAGTGATTTTTTTTTCTTTTCTAACATCATAATTCTCTTTTTTAGCAGTACTATTATCTTCATTCTTTTTGAAATTCTCTCTCTTTCGTTCATACAACAGTTTAATTTTTTCTTTCAAATCAGTAAAATTTTTAGCTCCGTACAACACCATCTTATTTGACGAATCGTCTTGAGTTCCATCAATTATATATTCTATGACCACCACAGGCTCTATGTACGCGCGACTTGCCATTTCTTTCATCTTAATCATATACTCTTGCACAGTTTCATCATATTTTTTTCTTCTTGTTTTAGAGTTGACCAATTTCGTATTCCTTTTTCAGATTGTATGAAAAGTTTTGCGAGGCGTTTCAGATATTTCTTCGCGTAAATTAACTTCTGGAGTTCGTTCCACCCAGTGACTTCTGCCACTTCTTGGAATTCCATAATCCACGTCTCGATAGGATATTCATCTTTCCCATCGAAAGACCTAATGCTATCTTCCACATCTCGCAAACTTAATGCAAATGAGTCTTGTTTCTTATTAAGCATCGTATCCAAATAGCGATAACCTCTATCGTCGTCTTCTCGTCGCGATCTTTCTTCATCTTGCCATCGCCTAAATTCTTGTTCTCGCCTATGGTCGTATCTTGGTGCAATTTCCTCTCTGCGCCAATAAGCATATTTTCATCTTTCATCTTCATTTTTCTGTCTGTCTTCATTTCTATGTCGTGTAACGTATTCTCGTTTATCTTTTTCGTCTTCTCGTCTTTCGTCATACGCACGTTTATCTTCTTTGTCTTTTCGTCTTTCTTCAACTCTGCGCTTCTTCTCTTCGTCTTTCTGTTTTTTCTCATGGTTAATTTTTTCTCTTTTCTTCCGTCTTTCTTTTGCAAAACCTTCATCTTCACGTCTTTCGTCTTCACGCCTACCGTCTTCACGTCTATCGTCTTCACGTCTTTCGTCTTCACGTCTGTCGTCTTCACGTCTTTCGTCTTCACGTGTTTCTAATTTCACAAGACTATATGTCACGCGCAATATTGCAGCACTTCTTCCATGTCGTTTCGTCGTTATAGCAGCAATGGGAACATCCAGGCTGATATCTTTTACAAGCAACCATCACTGCTTGATTCAATACTTTGGCTTTATTGATCACTATCGTCGTATTTTATTCTCCTTCTATCTCGGTTGAGCCCCCAAAATGTAGGGTTTTAGTAGTTGTCTA